AAATAGCATACTTATTATATAGTGATGATCTCTAATAAGATTTTATTACTTCACCTTTCTCTCATAATATTTAGTGTTTTTTAATTTATAAAGATAATTTATTTAATAGAAGTTATCTTTCCATAGTAATACCGTTAGAATTTTATTTTACTACTGTTTTTCAGGTTAGATCTCTTACATTGCACATAAAAGATAACGATAATAAATTTTACTGATTAAAAAAAAACCATTTATTTTATATTAATGCTATGCTAGAAGGTTTTATAATGAATAAGAAGTAGAGTTGAAACTAAGCATGAGATAAGTTATACTATATATTATGCCACTTCTGGTGTTTGATCTCTGTTAAAAGCAGCTACTTTGTCTTTTTCTACCACCACTTCAAGAGATCTGTCTACTATTTCTTTTATATTATCTTTCTCAAGCTCCAACTCTCTGTTTTCAGAAGATTCGTCGACTATTTCGGTTCGTTCTCTTATATTATTATTTTCAAGCACCAACTCTCCATTTCCAAAAAGCTGGTATTGGTCATCTTCGATGGTATCCATCTGCTCGGAAGCTATTACTTTATATTGTATATCGGTTTCGAATACAACTTTTCCTATTACTGTATTCTTTGTAAAGCCAGTCACAGTGCCAAAGAACTATAAAGTGTCCACAGATGGTGGCATTATTTGAGTAGAAAACCATGGGGCTTCTTCAGACAAGTGAGCAGCATATTTATGCTCAACATTTAAGTATGTATTGTGTTCTTTAACTTTATCGCATGCAAGCAAATGACTGAATAAAATTTTAGTTGACTCTTCACCACGATTTAGAACACTGTATAAGGAGGTTATCTTTTTATCAGGTTCATTTATGGTAGGATTAGGATTGAAAACGCTTCTAACACTGAGTAAATGCCAATTAACATATTGACTTTATGCTGTTTGTTTATAGCATCTTGAACAGGGGATAGTTTTATAAATGCTGAAAATCTAGTACCAGTTTCATTGGCTCTTACTAGAAAAAAGCTATATACTTTATTAGTGAAAATATTAGGTTTTGTATCCTGACTAAATGCAGTAAATAACTTTTTTTTTTTTCCTGGAGGAAGGAGATTAAGATAGTTTGAAATGAGAATTAGATTTACGAGTGAGTTTACGTTTAGGTGGCATTTTGAGATATAGTGACTTCAAGAAAAATAGGTACTATTATATAGGAATCCTGGCATTAATACTATAAAATAAAAATTTGCATTATATATATCATCAATTCGTAATGCAGATTTATTTTATTGTTAATGCCATAATTGCTAATGTGACATGTTTTTAAAAGCCATCCTAATTGTTGGGTATTATATAAAACAAAAATTTCATACAAGAAAAATTAATTTACTTATTGTATTTAACTAGATACAGAAGAAAATAGAAGTCTATACTTCGCGAAGCTGCCTAGTATCTAAAATCAGTTAAACATGCTAGAAAAAGAATACCTGGTGGATATATTTAGAAACGTGCTATGTTAATAATACTAATTATTTTTTAGATTATTGTTTACACTTATCGAATACGATCAGTACATACGAATATCTGCCCAGCATTGTGAAGATATCTCTATTTTATATAAATATATCAAATTTTTTACTACATTTAATTTAATA